TGAAATTATAAAAACAAAAATTATGCCAAAGCGATGCATGTTGCAATGCATAGCTCCTGCAAAATTTGGTTTTAAGCCGTTGCCATGTTTCCTCGCTCCTAACGCGTGGAGATCCACTTAGCTGCTCGAAGAGAAACTGCGCCTTGAAAATCCAGGGAAGACAGTCGCAGAGGAACCCCTATTTCTGACATTATGGAAAAAACGTGACTACCAGCACTTAATGAGTCAGGTCGCAAGCAAAGCAGCAATGATTACTCTGGCTAATCAATTGATCCAAGATGCACATAACATTACAGGTGCTAAAATATGGCGAAACAATGTTCTAAACATCTTCTCGTGTTTTCTTTCTAGGCAACGAAAACAAGGAACCGTGAGAAGCATTGTAGAAAAGTCGCATATGCAGTTGCGTTAGTGGTGCATCGATCATAAACATCCCTATTCTTTGATAATCTTCCATTTCTTATTGGTCAATTTTATATATCAATTCCTTCTGTCAGTTTCCTCCAGTCTTGCAATTCATTTCTCCATGTACAGGTCATGCATAGCGCTGAACCAGTCAGCTATTCATGCTTAACACAAAACCTCTTAATCATAAAAGACTGTATAATAAAAGATCAGATTTTTATAAACCTTGTTAATATCGTTAAACTCATTCTTTTTCAACGAGGCAACGAAATAGTTAATGAACTTAGCCATTTTGAACAGGTGATCAAAAATGTGACCTAGAAGGCTAAATAAAGACATGATTAATAATGGAAACAGGGCCCTGACGTTCTGGGATAATTGCCACTAACGATATCTTTTTAAATTCGCTGGTAATGTAGCATATCAATTCATAATACTAGATCTGCTCAGAGTAAATGCGCCGCCCCTCACTTCTTGTCGCCTAGAAGAACCGTTTCAGCTGGTTACTGTTTCACGGCATTTGAGCAGCATCAGTGCATTGGGCGAAGGACTACATCTTCGATTTGCACTGAATAATGGGGAATTCGAACATCAGCTGAATCTGCCATTACTCGTAGGTGGACATCAGCAAAACACAACCCTGATGTTTAAGAACGGCTACCGAATTATAACTTACCAATTCCGCTCATACTCATAACGTTTCGATATCTGATATCGCATTTCTTGGCGCAAGGGTACCATTCATGTGCTTCTATAGCCTCAGACGAACCATTTAAGCAAGTTCTTGCTCAGTGAGATCTGAGCACCTTCATTGCGCCAGCACCTGCAGTTGAGGTGAACAATGGGGTGTTAGAGCACCAACAAAATTTTCCGCTATCCGTAGGGAAATGCATAAGCTAAACGTGGACCCGTAGAGCACTGACTTGCTTAAATCGTTTCTCTAGAAGCATGAAAGAAAACAGAGGCATGTTTACGTTGAGAAAATCCGGTTTTATAAATTGATTTGGAAAAGATAATGTCTTTGGTAGTTCGTGGCCCGGTACATATCGAGACTGAGATGAATGTGAAAAATGTGGTAAATAAATCCAGTTACAGTACACAGGGATATCAGCTGTCTTTCTAAAGCCTTTGGCGCTTATTCATTCTCGACCAGGCACGGTAACTGCAAATAAAATTTTCGCAAATATTAAATTAAGTAATCAAAACGGTTGGTTAAAATGTTGCGTTCGTTCTTAATAACCAGATGTGGAATTATCTAGAATTTCCGTTCACCTATTGTTCTATTGTTCCGTGGAAATTTTCGAAAACTTCCTTATGAATAATTTACGACAAAACAAGCACTTTGGCGAACATCAGCATCGCCTATTCGAAACAACGCTTTAGATTTGCAAATCAGAGAACAATTGTCTTAACTGAACAATTTCACGGTCCGGCAACCGCCCAACCTCCAGTTCTGAAACCGGTCGGCTTTAGTAATTTAAATTCATTTATGATAATTCAGACGGCTTTCAGTCGGCGTGTTATTTCAATAGGCAGTTTCAATGCTCACCGATCAAAATGTGTTTACTCACTCCGCTAGCAGCGCGGGAGGTTCCTGTTCGAAGACACTCAGCGATGCGTCGTTACTAAGAATGCAAGATATGCAACAAACATACGTTAGGGCGAAACCAGTAGCCTCAATGGACTCGTTTGAAATTCGTAGAACATAGTATTAGGCTGCTATTCGGCATAACATTGATTGATGCCATGAAATTGGCATTATGAATGATTATTCACATACCGGTTGCTTTTTCATCGAAGAATATGGCCGGAAGTCTAATCTGTAATCCACCTGCAAGCCTGGCGATGAAAGAAGTGAAGAAATCATTCCATAATGGCTATGGTCATAGCCTCCTTACTGCTGACATGGCGTGTCGCCTGGAAATGACCTGCATAGGTGAATCACCATCTGTACCATGGTTAGTGACTTTTCAAGTGTAGCGTGTAGACAAAGCAGCATTTGTTGTGACTGCTTGCTATATCATACCAACCTTAGTTTATAAACACACATTCGGACTGTTCCAAAACTATGAGAACAGAGTAAGATGCTTTTGCATGAGATGCGTCAGACTTGCCGCAGGTGAGTCCGCTGTCGCTCTTGGTCGATACCACCTAAATCTGGTCAATACTAGTGAAAATAAGCAGCAAGTTGTGGTAAATTAGCATCAGTTGCAATGCGATCTTATTGGCGGTTGCACGGATCTACTTCATTCATGCGCCTATGGAGTAGTGAGTTCAGGTCTACTGCAAGTTTGAGTAAATCGGTTGAAAAACGGACGTGGAAGAGAAATAATTTTCAGAAAGGAAAGCGAACGTCACAAGAAGGAGGAGAGAAGGACAAGGAGAAAATGGAGGAGGGAAAGGAGAAGAAGAAGGAGGAGAAAAGGACATAGGAATAAATGAAAAATATGACTCAAAAATGACTAGTACAACCATTAAAATAATTGAAACAATAGCATTATATGCGCTGTGGGTGACCGCAGTTACTTCTAGCCAGTTTGCGTCATAATTGTTTGAGTTCTCTGGCCCGCAGTCAGAAAATGCTGATGCGGATTGTACTTTAATAGTAACCTTGTGCTCCTTTAATGGCATTCAGAACAACAGGTGAACCAATGGTTCAAAATAACGAATAGAGTGTCTATAACTGTTAGTGATTATATGCTCTATCCCTTTGCAGTATTCCTGAAAGTAAGAATAATGGGAAAATGGTTAAAAAAGTAAATGGGGTTTGGCGAAACCCTTTTGAAACCAATGAAACCTTTTCAGCAATCATGCGAGCAATGAATATGACGTTAAGCGTTCTATGGAAACGGTGTCAACTACTGCGCTCCTGACCATGGACGAAAATGAAAGCTCCTATACCTTAGAACATAAAATGGGTGGTAACTGACATGACTGAAAATTTTGAGGAAATTATGAGTTTAATGAACAGATTTGATTATGGTCATGAGACATATAGAATCAAGCTGTAAGAAAGACATTAAAGATTTATCAGGAGGAATGAAAACGCAAGGCGAAATCCGACTAGCTGGTTCTAAGTGGCTTAAAAGGTCTCCGTTAAGATCGAGTCATGAAATAATCGACTGCACGTTGAATTGGTCAGCAGAAACGGAAAGAAATGTCAGCTGATTTTTCATCTATATTTGCTTATGGTACTCACCGTGAAATTGACGTGCAAACTTGCGGAGTGGCGGCTGCGGCTTTTCAGCGTAGATTCAAAGACGTTTGCCAATCGTACGGGACCGACTGATTTTTGACCAACTGTTAACTGGACGTTAGTTATCCTTGTGATCGCCACAGAGTCGGTTTCTTCTGTTGTCTATTAACCGGTTATGAGGACTAAATGTTAGACAGCAGTTACAGTGACTAAAATGTTTCAGAAACCATGACTTTGACGCTGTCGTTCTAGCCCATGTTTTGCTCGAACTCGTCGCACCTTATTGTTGCTTAACTCGTTTCAGAGGCGATTCTGGACTTGGCGAATGGAAGGTGAAGAGTTGCCCGTACAACCGGGAATTCAATGAGGTTAGAAAGGAGTGCGTTCAGAAGTCGACTTCGAAACGAAGGAAGTCGTTGTGTCAGAACGGGTCTTTATCAGTGTACTGTCAACCGAAGTTGTGTGCAGGCACGTGTCTAATGCAAGCGTTCGGCTGAGAGATCGTTTGTTGTGTTGCAGGTTCGACGAATTACCCGTACTTGGGCGGCTCGTGCAACTGGCCAACGGCCGGCCCAGAAAAATTGCCCACCAACAACCAAGCGTACTTGAAGTGCGCGCCCGTGAACGACAGGTAAATGATTGATTAGTTTTGAGAGCAGGTCTGCAGCCAAGGTTTCAGAAGTCAGTGCGGAAAGTGGTCGGCAGCCGAATGTCCTCAAGATTCAAGTTTTCAAGTAAGTGCTTCGCTTCCAATAATCACACGAAACATAGTACAACGCACGATTCGTTCAGGGAAGCCATCAAATCTGCATCCCAAACAGCCTTCAAGGTATCGATGGAACTCGACGAACAACGACCACGTACTGAATAATTACTGGTTATTGTCCATTTTAGGCAGCCAATGTGTGAACGGAGCACTACCCATTGCCACGTGCGCAACCAATAGCAATTGCCCGTCGTCTTGCACTTGCGAAAGCTCTGTGTGCTGTTTACAGGTTACCGCTCAAGGCCCGGGAACATCATGCCCTACGTGCTGCAATGCGGGTCTTCCACAACGTAAGTGCTCGGTGAACGTCGCATAGCAACACGTGATTTTTTACTGGCCTGTAAGCTCATTAGACTCGTGAGCACCTTTTGCATAACACATTAAGAAAGAACCCGTATTTGAGGCAGGATCCTTAGGCATTCAAGGAAACACATCGTGGCAGTGACAACAGAGTAAGAAGGAAGTAAAGGTTAAATTCATGGCAGCATTAGTTTTATCATGATTATGGCACAGGAACTAATTTCCGTCTTGAGACGTTCATTCATTACTTACTTGAAGGCCATGTTTGCAGCCATGTAGCAAGTACAGTAGTCTTTGATATCCTACTTGACAACAGATTTGATGAGAAATGTCAGCAACAGCTGAGGCCCTAAAAAGTGCGCACTGAAGCTTCAGTTGAAGTTTTGTCCTTATCTATCAAAGACGTCAAATTTAACAACATTACATCCTGAATTACTTCCGTTGTAACGATAAGGTTAAAAAGAAAAAAACGATACGACTTCATACGCAAGGATATTTTAATAAATGGATAGTGATAGCGATTCTGAAATGCGATTTCATCCCCTAAGCATCGTTCACTTCCTTCACGGTGGACAGAAAGCGGTTCA